CAACTGGTCTGGAACAAGGGGAGTTTGGCCAGACATAAATCCAGGACTCCGTGGTGGTTCCCAGCAGGAGTTTTTCCCAAGTGGAAGGTGCCTGCTTGTCCAGATCTCACACCTTCCCTTTTTCTTCTGTTCCACGAGTCACGTCAAGATGGGGTGCTAACCTCGCCTCCCCCATCTGCCTCAGTGTCTCCCGCTGCCCCCAACCCAGACTCTCATCTCCTCCTGTCCTTTAAGGAGGAGCATTCTTTCCCTTTTTGAAAACGATTTGACTCCTTTAAACTGTTAGGATTACTGCCTCTAAAAGGCCGGCCTGGCACCCTGCCTGGCAGCATCTGGAGTCTGAGCTGCCCAATGGACAGCCCCTCCCCCGTGCTCCATGCCTTTGAGCCGCTGCGGCAGCCAGGCATACATCTGGCCTACAGTTCTCTTTCCTGGCAACTCCATTAGATTGTTCTTATCCTAGAAAGGAGACAGCTGTTGGGGGTGTGGAGGCGAGCTGGCCGTCAGCTCCCTTATGAACCTCCCGGGGCAGAGAGGCATTGTGGGATACCTACCCTGGGATCCCAGCACCCTCCATCGCTATAGAAACAAGCTGTTGTGGGAGAGGTCGTCCCTGTGTTTTTAGACAGACCCGGAAGTAACGGAGTTGAGAAAGTAAAGGGGTTTGGGTTGGAGGTGGGAAGCCAGCCAGCACATTTACTTCGGTTCTCTCCTTTAGAAGCAGTTGAAATGGCTACAGTTTGCATCTGACCACTGAAAAACCACCTCCTCGTGGCCCCCTTTCCTCTGAGTCTCCAGTGGGAGCCAAATAGGATGGAGGGTGGGGTGTGCCAATTTATTAAGTAGTTATGTGCTGAGAACCGACTGGAAAGGGATGCTCCTAACTTGCGAACGAACTCTTGTTGGTTGAGAAGAAGAGGAAGATGAATGCAGGCGTGGGCTGCAGCGATGGTATCCTCCCCTGACATCCTGTGGGATGCCTTTAAACACACATCTTTCCTCCGGATTTCCCATTACGTTTCCTAATTCCAGTTAATCCAGGAGGGATGCTTTACTAGGGAGCCTCAAGGAGTTCAAACGCTCTACCTCTTTCCTTCCCTGGCTTCTGTTTCCCCTCCTGCCACCCCACATCCTCTGTAGCGTAGGCTGCCAGCCTGGTCGCATCCCTTTCTGGTTCCCAGGACTTGCTTTGTCAGGCTCTCTACAGGATGTCAGTAGATGGTGACTGGTGACGTTCATAAATCACTCCTAAACTGTTGGGCTCATCCAGACGTTGTCATCGCTCTCTGATGAAATGGGAGAGGAAGGCTATACCTTCTTATAACAGGGTGCTTCACCCTGAATATGTGGGCTGGGGAGGGCAGGAAGAGGGTGAGCCCAATGCGTGTGCCATCTGAAATCTATTTGGATTGCCAGCACTGGAGCCACAAGGTTGCTTGTTGGTCCTGTTCCTGCCCCACACAGCAACTGGGCTTTATCCTTGCCACCCTGGGATCACCGAGATGGGTCAGGCCCTGACGGTATTTATTGTACAGAGCAAAAGAAACGCGCAGAATTGCAGGACTTAGTCAGGATTTTGACTTTTCAAGTTGGGAGAGGATGAGCTGCTAATTAGGAGGAAGAAATTCTGCTCTTCTGGAGGCCCTGAATTTTCCACTGTGTTGCCTGCACACACCCACCACGAGACGATGAATTTCTATGAATTTTATGTCCTCTATCCTTGCCTATTAGGTGAAAATAGCTTTTGGAATGTATAATTGGAGTTCATGCCCTTCCCCCCATCAACCTACTGTTCTCATCATCATGGGCCTTGCAGACTGGGCTCTGGGTGGTCAGACATAATGCGTCCCCTTAGAAGATGTCTGTCATTTATTATGACTTGTCTTCTCTGCTAAGAATCCTCAGATGATTATTCAAGTTGGCCTCCATTCCCCTCTGCCAGTGTAGACACAGCTTGAGAGTGGAGAAGGATTTAGCCTCCAGGACAGCTCCAGAGAGCAGACCCCAGGAGTGGAGTAGGGAGGCTCTGGCATCCTGCTGTACACTTAGAATGTCCTAGAATGTCTCTCGCAAGCACTAAAGCACACCACAAAGATCAACGAAGGAAATCTGTTAAAGAGTCTTTCCAACAAACATTTCAGTCATGCTCCGCTAACCCCAAATGTTCTTCTTGCTCTGTGTGGTTTTACCTGAGCATCAAATTTTCCAGCGTTGTGCAGAAAAGTCATGCAAATCCCATGTAAGCCCCGTATCTCACAAGAGTTGTTCTCGAAACATTCAAACACGCCACACCCCACATCGCCAGCGTTGACCAAACAGTGCTGGATTTCCGCTAAAATGAGAATTACATACAAATATATACAAAATTCTCAGCCACGCTGGGGCGTGCAGAGAGCTCGGCTGAAATAAAAGTAATGACTAAAAGAAAATTTAAGGGAAAAAAAAAGTTAGAAATGACTATTTCAGGATCTAAAAAGCCAGGGAGAGGAAATGTCATTATTTAATCTACTTATGAAAATATCAGTATTTGTACATATTTGTAAAAAATTAGCCAAACCTATATTACAAAAAAAAAAAAAATCACAACCGTTAAGTTAGGTCTCGGCACTCCATTTTCCATCTTTCCTGTCTTATTAAAGGTTTAGTGGGAATACTTAGTTTGAGAGCAGAAGATATGGGAGCTTTCTAAACCCACAGACAAAAATCAGGTTTCAAACGATGAGTTTGCTCTCTCCCTTAGGTACCTCATCAATGAAATACCCTTCTCTACTTGGAACTCGAAGCTGCTGCTATGAACTCACAGCTATTTCCTTCCTGACCCCCAAATGAGAGCGTCCAAAAAGCAGTTTCAATTCAGCTTTATGATTCAACACCTAAAAATCAAAACAAAATTCCTATTAAGGCAGCGTCTCCAAACCGTCCGCATTAAAAATATCAGGCTGTGGAAGCTGCGGTTTGAGAGCAGCCTGGGGAATCAGGTCAGGGGGGGCTAGCCTGCAGAAACGCACCCACCGCGTCCAGAGAGGCTCCCTTTAAATAGAGATCCGGTGGGAGATGTCACTCAAGCCTCTACGATTCCCGAGACCCGGGAGCCTGCCGTCCTCCTTCGCAGAACGTGGCCCTAATTGGGCTCTCTGAAAGGAGACTGAGGGACTCAACTGTCAGGCTACGCAAAGCTTCTCCTCCTTCCCACCCCCCTACCCAATTCCCTGACTTAAACCAACCACAAAATTACATCAGAAAAGTATATTTTGGAAGAAGGGCGGGGTCGGAGTAGATAATCCGCATTCAGATTAAATCTACCGAGAGAATGAGGGGCGTGCATTTGTTGAGGGTCACCAACTACTGAGAATCACGTTCGATCCTCAGGGAAGGCGCTGGAGGGAGGGAAGGGTAGGCGAGGGTCCTAGGACGAACCGGGCGCTGGCGCCCGCACGTGGAGGTGGGAGGCTTCCGGGAGATCCCACGCGCGGCCCCGGCGCGCCGGGCAGGAGCGCGCAGGGCCGCGAAGCACTCGCTCCGGGCGTCCCTAATGGGCGCTCGTGCATTCCTGCTCGTGCGGCGAGCGCACGCACGCCGCCACCGGGTTCGCAGGCCCCGCGAATAAAGGGAGGACCGCGAAGAGCGAAGGGGCTGGACGCAGATTTTCTTACTCTCTCGGGAGCTGGGAGAAGGGCCAGCCGCGTGCCCTGCACGCCTGGCTCTGCTCGGCAGCTTGCCGGTGAGGAGAGAGCTGGCTGAGGAGCGGCGGCGCATGGCTCGGGCCGTGTCACCATTGCTTCGCTTGCTGACCTGCCCTGGAGCGGAGGACGGCGGCAGCACCGCAAAGGTACGCTTTGCGCCATCCCCTCCTTCCGAAAGGAATGCCTCCAAGGAGAAAGTTCTCAATGCAGTTTGTTTCGTCTACCAAGTTCTCGGATGTCGGGCATCTTTTGAGAAGGGGGAGAAGCGGTCCTGCTGCGGCCCGCCGGCTGGGAAGAGAAGTTCGCCGGGTGCAGGGCGCAGCCCGGCTCCGGGGACCCTCCGTACCTCCTGCGGGCCGGTCAGGATGGAGCAGGGAGCTTTGCACCGATCCCGGGACTCCGGGGCCGGAACTGGTCTCGTCAGGCACTGCCTCATTTACCCTCAACCCAGGGGAGGGCAGCAACAAGTCCTGCCCCGGCCATTTCATCACCCTACCAGCACGTGCGGATTCCGGGCGCGCGGAGCCCGGCGCGGACCTCGCCTCGCGCTTTCCTTTGCACGTCCCACGCCACCCCAAGAGTTTGCGCGGCCCTGGGTGGGCGCCCAGTTCCGGGCGAAGCTCCTGGGGCGCGCTGCGTGGGTGCACGGTGTTGTCTCCTAAGAGCTCCTCGCCGCGGGGGCGCACGCACTTACCTGTGTTCTGCAGGGACAGACGGCCTTTCTGCTGGGAGCCCCTGTCTTGGGGACCCTCGGGCGGATGGGTGGCGTCGGTCCCTCGCGCCGGGTCGAAGGTGGCCAACACCAAAGCCAGGGTCATGAACTGGCCCAGCCGCTCGGTACACATGGTTCTTGGTGTAAACCTCCCGCCAGGAGATCTGGATTCTTTGTGCTCCCCTCCTCCTCTTCCTCCTCCTTCGCCGTTTCCCCTCCTCCTCCCACTCTTCCTCCTTGCTCGCCTTTTCCCTCCTCGCGGCCGCGGCTCGGATAGAGGTTACCCAGCGCCCTCCCGTAGCTCTCCCGAGAGCATGTGACCAGGCCGTTAGCAGCGCCGCGAGTGCCCGGCAGTGGCAGGGATGGTGCCTCAAATATCCCTGGAAGCTCTGGTGTCACTTGAATGAAGGAGTCGAGCAGGTGTTGTCCCGGCGGCTGGACCAATCCGAGACCCCCGCCCATTTGACAACACGGCCGGGAGGCGGGGCCTGCGCCCAACTACTACACGAGGAAGCGGAGCGCCGCCGGGAGCGCCGGACAAAGTTGGCGACCTGGCGGCGGCCACGCGTTTGCGTGCGTGTCTGAGTGTGTGAGCACGGCCGGAGATGCGTGCGCGTGGGCGGGTGCTCCAGGGCAATGGCCGAACGGACTTAAAAAAATAAAAGCGAATCCCGGCTCCGGTTGCAGCTAAGGAAGGGCGAGAGGGGACGTTCTGCGCTGGGACAGCGTTCCTCCCCCTCCCCTGGGCCCCTGGCTCGCACCACACCCGCATCGTGCTGGGAAAGTTTCCTCTTTCCGACGTTTGGAATTCAGTGAGATTCCCAGCTCCGAGGCCTTGACAGATTGGAGGCGTTTCCTGGGCACAGTGATGCTGGGGGCAAACTGAGTACATATGGAAATTCCTGGTGTTGTGACGCTTTGCATTAAAAAAACCCCTCAAACTATTTAAGATAGGAGCGGAAGCTCTAGATACAGGAGTTGGCCTGAAAACTGCCTCATCTTGCCCCTTCCTTTTTGCCCCCCTTTGGTGGGCCGTGCAATACCTAGGGTGCCAGTTTCTCGCCCCTCCTCCAATCCAGACGGATTCCAGGCTGGGCTGCAGGGATTCAGGTGACAGACTGGACTTGCATCATTTCCAGGCGGGTGGCAAGGAGGCCCAGGCAGCCCTGAGTCAGCCCGCCGCGGAGCATCGCGTGCCCCGGAGGCCGGCGCTTGAAAGGCAACTTTCCGCGTCTCCAAACACACACTTCCATTTTCCCAAAGCGCTACTCGCCGCCCAGCTCCGGGTTCCCTTTTTTAATCTCCAGACTTCGGATGGAAACGGTTAAAACAAACAAACAAAAAACCCCAACCAAACCAAAAGACAAAACCTGGGGAAATTCTTTCCATCTCCTCTCCTTTCTTGCTCGAGCTCCCTCCCCAAGCACTGCCGGGGCTGCATTGCCCCTGCTTCTTTCTCCCTAGGCCGGTGGAAGCAGGGAGAAAGTTGGGCGCCGCTCGGAGCGCCTCTTCTCCCGCTGTGTGTGTACGTGTGCACGCTCACGTCTCCCCGGCGCCGGGGCCGGGGACAGGAACTGCTCCGGGCATCGTCAGTCCGACGGCGCAGCTCTGGGGGCTCGCAGGGCTGGAGGAGGGCGGGGACGCGAGCGCTGAGGCCGAGTGCCCTGCGGCACTTACCCCGGATTGTTGCGTCCTCGCCCCTCCCCCGCCGCCTCCACCCTCCTCCTGGAGAACAGGTGAGCCCGGGTACCAGCTCCCATCCCCATCCCCCACCCCCGCCCCGCTCCCTGCCCGCGCCCTCTGCGGTAATGCTCTGGGGAGGTTTCATCACCCACTGCCCGCGGCGACGCGGCCCTGGGTCTCCGCGGTGGGGCGCACTGCGCGCCTCGTTGGGGCCGCCATGTGACACTGTTGGGGGAGGGGGTGCGGAGACGCTTCGGCCAGGTCATCCTCCGGCCGCCTTTCGGCTTCCAAAGCTTCCCTTCCAGGGTCTCGGCTGCACTCCGGCACAGGGAAGGCGGAGGCAGGGGTGGGGGCAGGGTGGCCGCTACTGCCCGCAGTCGCCCGGCGCGCGCGGCGGGTGGAGCGGCCTTGAGTCGGGGGGGGGAAGGGGAGGAGGGGGTGGGGAAGGCGCCTTCTGAATGGCCTCTCCTCCGGCTTGCAGCGCCAGAGAGCGGCTGTCCACCATCCGCGCCCGACTTTCAGAGCACCAATAAATGGTCCCTTTGAAGGTCCGAGTCTCCAGCGGTGGCAGGAAACTGCTCGCGCCCATGATTCCAACAGTAGTTACTTCTTGCAGACTGCGATCTTTTGTGGAAGGAGGTGGGGTCCCAGTACGTTAAAATAGGGGTGGTTCGCGTTGCCCCCCTGCCTTTGTTTGCATAGTTAACTTCGCTTCCTTTATTAGTTTATGAAAACCCATCTCCTGTAGATCCCAAAAGACAGAACATAGCAAACAGCGGCATTCGGGCCTCGCGGAACCCCAGAGTCTCCTGGGTCGGCTTTGTTCCCGTGGAGCCTCTTTTGTAGGTGAGAACATGAGCAATATTGGCATTAAAAAGGGCATCTGGTCACCTGGTTCTTTGAGCACAGAAATAGGAGAGGTCCAGAGGGTTGGGGGCAAGCCCACCTTTGCTGGATGCAAGCCCTCTGAGTCTGCTTGATAGAAGACTCTGAGCGCACCTAGAGCCCCAGCCGGGCAGAAGGAGCTCTCTGGGCCCCCTGCCTGCCTGTGGCCTTTGCCTGGGCACTGCCACCATGAGGCCCTGGGGCTGCCCTTAGAGGACCTACATAATTTAAAAATTCATCTTGAGGCTGTTTGCTCCAGCTTCACAGGGGACATTTGTGCTCCCACCTGAACCAACTGCCCCTTTAGAACAACAACAAGAAGTAGCAGCTAGCTTTTGAGGTGTTGCAGGTAAAGGTACTAGTTCTTAAAGGTTTGATCTGCAGGCCAGTTTGCCAGAGCCAAACATCCAGAGGAGAATGCCCGGCCCAGTCAGTCCCATCAAAGCTGAGAAGTTTCTGCACACTCAGTGGGCAGTTTGCTGGGATTATCAGTCTTGGCCCCGGGCCTGGGGTGGGTGTGGGGAGAGGAGCTCCGAGCTGTGACTTTGTTTGCTCTCCCCGCTCATTCTTTCACCTCTCTCACTCAGGCCTGTTGTGGCTGACTGTGGCTGCTGAGAGTGGAGGTGGGGAAGGGGCAGTCATAATAATGGTGGTGGTGATGATTTTTATAAAGCTAACGTGATTGAGCACAGACGCTGCGCCACACGCTGAGCTTGCGGCTTTGGTGGCTCTCCAGACCTGAGTCCACCCGAGATGGGAACTGAGACTGGGAGGAGCAAGGACAGACCAGCTGGGGTTGCCCTGAGGTTCAGCAGGGAGTCTGGCTAGATGGACGGTCCTTCTCAGTTTAAGACCCAACCAGCTGTGGAAAGGATGAGGCAGGCTTGCCTCGTGACATCTAGTGGCTTCTGTGGTTGATGCATGAGACCCACGTTTTTCTGTCTAACTCCAGTTCACCAGTTAAATTCGAACATTTGGTGAGTAGGTTTGGGGGAGCAGGGAATTTGGGTTAGACTTTGAAAGGGGAGAGGATACTGACAAGTAGAGGTAAGGAGAAGAGAGGAGACATCACAGGAGGGAGGGAGGCCCCCGGGGGGGGGGGGGTAAATGTCCAGAGGGGCTACAGTGGGATTTGTATCTGGAATAGGGATTGCCCAATTTGGGGTTAAAGGGGAAGATGAAGCTGGCGAGGGCCTCTGGGGCCTGGGGCCTTTGTGGCAAATCTGTGCTCACCACAGAAGATCTTGTTCTCTCCTGATGGATGAGACTCCAGGACACTCTTAGACTAGATTCCCTTTTGGAGTTAGGAAATGGTCAGGGCCCAGTGCTGACACGGTGAAGGAAAATATGGAGGAGAGGAAGGGGGGTAATTAGCTGGAATCTTGGTGTGGGTTGCTGTGCCCAGGGGAACAGAAGGTCTTGCTCAGATGTGAACAGGTTGGGCCTTGGAGGATGGGAACAGTTGTTGGATGATGAGGCAGTATGTGTAGGTTGATAGGTTCTGTCTGGTCCAGGCTTTCTGTGAGTTCAGAGCCTGAGTGGAAAATGTGGCTCCACGTGGAGGGCGCCTCCCACTGCGCGCCCCACCCCCTTGGGGCTGGCTGGGCTGATGGCACCACCTGATGGTCAGAGAGGGAACTATCTGACCAAGCAGTGGACTCTCCCCGTCTCTACTGGACTTCAGGGCCTGGGGCACTAATATGGGGTCTCCGGCCTTCTCCTCAATTTGCTTAGCAAATCAGTTAATACTGAGTTAAGCAATCTTCTCCTCAAAGAGACCTGCTTTCATCCCCCAGTCAAGGAAATCTCTTTCAGACTTTGCTTTTCCTCCCCATCCTTTGCCATCTTCCTTTGTCGCTCCTTGACGCCATGCCTATATGGAGTAAAATGAAAAAATATCCAGGTGAAACTGGACAAAGACCAGACTCCTGCTGTCGCCTCCAGAATTCTAGACAGCAGAGGTCTCTCCCTAAAATGTCTCCCTCTTTCCCCTTACCTTCTTTCATTAAACTGGTTGTTTTCTTAAATAGAATTCAGGATAGAGGAGAATATGTCTTCTGTATTGGGGTTTGTTTATTAGTTCTGCAACAAATCTCCTGATTTTCACCGTGAAAGTACCAGGCTTCAACGACATTGTCAGTTAAGAAGGCTTTTGTGGGCCTGGTCTGGAAAACTCACCATCAGTGATAATATTGTTTATTGGAGGAAAATGTATTCTGAGTTCCCAAAGCAACCAACTCCCAAAGTTTTGGACCCCACCACTTTTGTGAACTGGATGGTTCCTCAGTGTCACAGATGAACAGTCAAACCATATTCATGGAGTGACTGGAAATACAAAAAGATAAAAAAGAATTTTCGAAAACCCCAAGAAATAGGAACACTGTCTCCTTCACAATAAATCTATTTCCTGGAAAGAATATAAAGTAAGCATTGGGTGTCTGATTGTGGTCTGAGTTTTGTTAGTGCCTTGCTTTGAAGCCGGAACAGTATTCCAGAAGCCCTCTTTGTTCCTTGGGTCATAATTTTTGCGTCTTCATTGTGTGCTGAGACGAACTCCAGGAGAAGATGTCCCAGGCAGAGGGCTGCGTGGTCTCCATGGGGATTGCTGGTGGAGCCTAGAGGTGGGAATCCGTGGTGTGGGATACGAGGGGGCTCTTTCTGACTGGCTTTCAACTTTGGTCTGGGCCCTGTTGGATTTCAAGTGGGTGAAGGAAGAGTCCTTTTGTGGGGCTGTTTCCCAGTGAGCTAGAGTTTGAAAATCTTCATGAAAGGACCAAATCTATTAATGTGATTTAACCATCAGTATATGCTCAGGGTCCATTGGGCCCAATTTTAGTTTTTGTGGTTTTTTTCTAAGCAGTTCTAACTTTTTGTAAAGATTGATATTTCACGACTTTGTTCTTTTTCTAGCAATCTTCCAAAGATTGAAAAGAACATTTACTTTTTAACAGAAACAGAATAAAGCTCATTCTATCTTGAATTTAGCATATGGGACCATTGGAACCACTTATAAATCTAAGATACTTCGTAGGATCTTAGTGACCTTGCTTTTTTTTATATCTTGAAACATTTTCCATTTTATTGTCCCAGGAATTATTTCATGATTATTTATCAGTTATTGCCAGTCATGCTAAAAACACTGAAATAATAAGGAAATGGAAGAACGAGGGAATCGCTACCTAGAAGGATGATGCAACAGTGGAATAAATCACTATTGCATCGCCCTTCAGGTTTCTCGTTACATTGCTGTGAGTATTATGTTGTCTTTTTAGAGGGTATAAAAGAAGATAGACTACGCCGGCTTTGTAGTTTTATTATTGCTTTCGTTGCATTCAGTTGTGAATACAGAATTTTTTGTTTCCTGCAGAAAATGGTAAAGAGAAGAAAACTGACAAAGGGATATGTTTTATAGTAGTTAGACAAATAGAAGAGACAGCAGTGATGCCTCTGATGATAATAGTAAAATTGATTTTATATGCACAGCTCAGACTCTGAGTCTTACAAGAGAATAATCCGGATGAATTTGCTCAAACTCCAGAATCAATGAATAATCAATATAGTTCTGAGGACAAAAAGAAAATATGATATTCTCATCCAGTTAGTCATTCAACAGGAATGATTTCGTCGCCCAGTATTTTGCAACAACCTGGACCATCCTGTTTTGCTAACAGAGTGGGTTAGTTTTTTCCTTTTGTGCTGTTTGTTTGCCAGAATTTCCTTGATGCAGTTTGAAGGGGACAACTGATGAAGTCAGATGTGTTTATGAAGGTGATCAAAAGGAAGTAGATGCTATGCAAATGAAAAAAAATACTGGACTAATCATTTCTGTGGTTGTTTATAAATTTAAAAATGAAAATACTTCGCAAGTATGGAGATAAGCACGTGACCATCTTCTCTTTAACAAAATCATGAGCTGTCAAAGGTCTCAAAAGTAACTAGTTTTATGAGGCAAATGCAAGAAGAACCAGAAATAATGATAAGCTAGAACTTATTAGAGATTTACTTGAAATCTGGAGTCAGTCTTTCTAAGATGGATCTGCCCCAGGTTCCTGCATGACAGTCAGTTGCATGTGGAAGACGTTGGTCATTCTGAGTTTATATGCCTTCGAAGTTAGGGAAATACGGAATGAAAATTTGCTATGTTTAAATCATTAAATTTTGTAATAAA